TATATTTGTTAATAATTACAAAACGACTCCCTTGATTGGACAATATTGTTAGTTGAATAAAATCATTGTTGAGCAAATATAAACAATGCTTTGGTTGATACAAGTTTTTAATTAATTTTGTGAACTTGCCGTAGACTTGAATTAGCTAACCGTTTATTATTGGGAAAAAAGTTTCAGTTTGACACAAATAAAAATTTACTCGATGTTTGTTGTGTTTACTTTCTTCTTTTATTTGCATATATTAAGCATAAAAATACGTACATATTTACATAAGTTAGTTACTAAAGTAAATAATACATATGTGTATGGTGGTAAGAATTTCCTAAAAAAGAACGATGAAACAAGAACAGTCGTGCGAAAACCCAGGTCAATATCTGCTGGAAGTATACTGCCTTGCTTTTTCCTTAGCTAAATAGACACTTTCAAATTATAATTCACATGAATTATATATCCACTGAAAAACCCCGGTTGGCATCAAACTTTATATTTTTAATTAAACTTTAAACTATGCGCGCACCGAAACAACCCGCGATGATAGCAAAACTGAAACTGTGACAAACAAGTATGGGCATGTCATAGCACACATGGCGCAGCGATCGACATGCCATAGCTTACTGAGCGCTCTGGGACCACATGCGTGTTTCACCCATATACGAACAGCGGTAGCGGAGCAATGATTTCCACGCACAATGCAATGGTCGGCATACTAGCGCATTCAAACGATTCAATAAGTGGGACTGTGTGCATTGCTCAGCTGGCGCTCTTCGTATGTGCTCAGAGAGCGCTCAGCATTCTTTAGGGGTGGCTCACAAGCATGAATATGTTCCACTCTCAAACCAAATCGTGGTTGCTTCAACTAAGATTTGGTAACTATGACTAAACCACGTGTTGAAAGAAAGCTTATCTGCATCAGCAGAGCTTAATAACATCCTTTTATGAACCATACGTTAAGTTGAATGGAATTTGTAGAAATATGCTTCAAAGAAATATTTATTAGTATTAACCAAACCCTTCAACTAAATTAACGATTTGTTACAACCTAGATGAATATTAGAAGCTTTAATATATTTAGTTATAATAACCAATCGATGGTAATAGTTCCCAATCCTTGGTAACAGTTCCCAAATATTGTCAAAATTCGGGAACTAAATATCTTTAGTTGTCGAAACTAATCCTTTTTCTCAGTGTATAATTAATTTTTTTTTCTGATATTGCAGATATCTGGCAACATCATTTTTCCAATTTTCTCCTTACAAACCTTCTACAGACAGAAAACCACAAAACTAAATAAAAACGAAGCTAATCCGTTGAGCCGTTCTTGAGTTATGCGAGAACACATGAAAGCAATCCATTTTTATATAAAAAAAAAAAAAATTTCGAACGGTGGCAACCCTATCATAATTTTTTCTTATGTTTAAAAAAAAAACAAATATGTATGTACAGTTCATGGAGTAATAATGTAGGCAATTATGTATGTAGAGTCGTTTATGTTGCCACAAGGAGGAACTAACATTGCTGTTAGCACTTGCATTTGTATATCGTCACCTGAAATGCAAAAAGACGTAACAAACGTCATCGTTGAAATGCAAAAAGTCTTAACTAATAAAAAATTCAAAATTCAAAATTCTATTAACATGATGGATTACATCGAATTACAACACCCCACATCATTTTATGAAAAAAAATTAAAATATTTGACACGACTTTTTCCATTTTATTTACGATGTGGTAACGTTTTTTGCATTTCAGGTGACGATATGCATATTTATATACG